AATAGTGTGTTGGTCGACGGCTCGCCGACTGGAATCCGCTGACTAGACGATTCGGCGTCCGGCTGGGTCGAAGGCCGACACACAGGGAAGAGGATAGTAAGTCGTGTTTAGAACAGAGCATTATACATAACGTATGTTAACCAGAGCCTTTTTTATACTTATGTACATTTAGTGAAGTTAACAACCAGTAATAAAATCTATATTATTAATAACTAATCGTGCGTTAAATTTATTTGTGTTGGAACCACGGTTTCATAACACTGTGGTTGCTGCGTTAAGGTCTCAAGGTCTGTGGGGTCGTCGTCCCTACATGCCGATCTTGACTCAAATTCTCGTAAGAAGATGAGTTTGTTTTCCTTTGAGAGCGTGTAGCGTGCTGGCCGATTTGCAAACTTCCTGAGGTTTGTCTCAAGGTTGAAGGACACCACCTGGTGGTCACTGGACGTGATGCCTGGGATCACTTGCCAGTCTCTTAGCTTCCCCAGGATGCGTTCACCGCCAATGGTCACGTCGATATTTGTTCGACCCCTTTGTCCGTTGAAAGTCGTATATGGACTTCTGGCGTTAGCAGTATCCAGCTGATGCTCATCTAGCCACGTTGTCAGCGCCTCGCCACGCGCGTCATTTATCCTGCTAAACCACCTGGTGGAGAATGCGTTGGCATCCAATGCAATAAGGGCGTCCCCGGCAACCGAGCGAAAAATGCCGTCCAGCACAATTATGTGGGATGCTGTTGGAACCCTGTACTTAAAGTACCCGCTTATAAGCGTCACTATCCCATCTGAAGCGCAGTCCAAGTCCACCGTTGTGAAATTCTCTATTGTGCCGACATCTCGTGCGACCACCACCAAATCTGGATTAAAAACAATAATGGCGGCCCCGTAATCGATATACCGCGGGGCCCCCCCGCGACGCGTTCCTGCCGACAGAAAGCACCTTATGGGAGCGGCCTCGAAGCCGGTCAGTTTGCCTCTATTGGTATACGGTTCCTGAACTAAGGCAATGTCGATGTTCAGTCTCTGGCAGTACTCAAGAAGCTGGTCGCTGACCGCGGCAGCTCTGCCCATATTAAGTTGCACTATTCTTAACGAGGAGATGGCAGTCATTTTACAATACCATAGTCAGTCATCTTGGCTTGGTTAACCAGAAACGCAGTCCTCGATGAACAGGTTCTTTCCCTAGCATTATGTTTGCCTTTGCAGTTTGCGCAGGTCGGTTCATGCTCTTTTGACGGGCAATCTGCTTCCTTATGCCCCTTGTTGCCGCAGTGTGAACATGTGCACGTCTTCTCGAAGCACTTGGCTATGTACTATACATATTCAAATTCGTGATGATTTTCTCCACCCGACAATAGGTCGCACCATTGTGCTTGAGAATTTTTCCGGCGTCACTCGCTCATTTTCTTGATTTACGAGACAAAAATTATGTATTACTTTAGGTATATGAAAATTAAGTGTTTTAGTAAGTATAAATTTTTTGAATATTTTCATTTCCCGATTAGAAAAGTTCATGAATGTGTTTGACGTAAGCCCCGGATGACGCCGGACGAGATCTGACACCTCGCGAGTACGTTCTATCTTAAGTCTTCGGCTGTTGCTCATTGGAAATTAAAGTCAAGGAAATTTTCAGCATTTAAAAACAACTTAATGGTTGTAAGGGAGTGCTAATGAATAATAAAACGCTAGAAGTAATGAATAAGAACTCTAGGGGGGAGCGTAGGGGTGGAACGCACGGCGGGCGGACTAGTGCGCGAAAGAAAGATGGCATTAAAAAACTGAAATAAAAAATTTGAAAAAACGCTATATGCTTGTAAGGGGGGTGCTATTGAATAATAAAACGCTAAAACCAATGAATAAGATCGTTAATTGGGAGAGCGTAGGGGCGGTAGTGCGGCGGGCGGACCAGCGCGATGTCTTTCGGTGGCATTAAAAAACTGAAAATAATAACTTGAAAAAACGCTATAAAGATATTTAAAAAACGCTATATGGTTGTAAGGGCTTTGCTACTGAATAATATAACGTTACAAGTAATGAATAAGAACGCTAGGCGGTAGAAGGTAGGGGTGAAGGTTGCGGCGGGCGGACTAGCGCGCTGACGTATAGCTAGTCTACCCGTTACACTCTTACGCTAACCCACCTAGCGTTGTTATTCACTTTTTTTAGCGTTTTATTATTGCGTATCACCATCATTTCAACCATGTAGCGTCCTTTAAATTTAAGTGGATTAGGCCTAAACTGTTGACGTGGTAACGTCAGTGGATTAGGCCTCTTGGGGAAATCACTTAAAAAAAACGCGCTGTAGCTGATACCCCGTGGGTAGTGTTTAAATTCAGCTAGTATCAGGGCATTGCAGCTGACACTGACAATACTAACACTAGAATAGACTTCTAGGGCGGCGGACTGGAGGCGGCCCACCAAAAGGAGGATAGAGAACGTGTGACCCAGAGCGGCCGACTACGGTTTGCTCGTAGACGTGGACACGAACGAGACTGCCAGGGTATCGGACTCTGGTTAGCCCGAAATGACTTGAGGAAGGCGAATAAACGTGTAAAATGTAAATGTATAAAATGATATCTTTGAAGGGGGGGGGGGGTAAAGTCAGGGTATTGTCCCGTATGCAACACAAGATTTGGTACACAGTCGTGACGGTCAATTACCCATCGGTGCGGGAGTTGCTAAATGTTGTATTTACTATAAATGATAAGAACTCTAATCCGTAGAAATTTGCATCGAAACAGGCGCCAAAACCCGTGTACGGTAGTAGCGCAACGCATATATGAACATAGGTACCGGCTTCACATTTCCGTCCAATAGGGTGTTGAGGGTTAATTCGAGGACATTTTAGGAGAAAATGGATTTTGGGGCTAACACTGTGATTGGACTTTTTCGGCGGGCCCGAACAACGGTAAACGGTAACGGGAATGGCGACTCGTGGTGGTGATTTCTTGAGTTTCTGGTGCCTACCCCAAGTAACACATGGATGTTAATAAGATAATAATAGAATATTCATTAAGAATATATGTAATATGTAAAGAATATTCTTCGTTCACATAAAGATCTTCTATTAATATGCATATAATGTGAAACATTTGCAAAATGAGTCAACTATAGTCCATGAATATTTAGTCTTATTGGATAAACTATAAATAGTCTTACAGGAATATTCATATAGTAATTTAAACTATTTATATAATATTCTTTGGGTATTTAAATTAAATAATATATGAATAACTCATAATTATTTCTATAAATTATTACCAAAATAATATTTGATGATGAATATCATATTCTATTTATTATAAAACATATATCCATTGGTTGATAATATATCAATTGATTTTAGATTATGGATATATTATAATATACATATTATATACTTTTTTATTGTTTTATAATATTTGCATATATTTTGTTTGTATGGACTAGGTTATTATCTTTAAATCTTGCATGTTAATGCAATATTTAAGCCTAACTGAAAAAAAAACCAAAATAAACTTTGAAACACTCATATATTTTATACATATTTTAAATATTGTATAAAAAAAAAGATAGTATAAGAAATGGTAGTATAAGAACACATTTCTTTGTTTAAATTAATTAATATTAACATTTAAAACTACAGTCTTTTTTGCTCTTTCCCTTGCTTTGGTTAGCCAAATACTAGCAACTGATTCAATTTCTTTTATTGTTCTGCCTGAATTGTTGTTAGACGAATGAACAGCTCCTAAAACATTATAATTGTATATATAATTATCATATTATATAAAGTTAATACAAAACTAAAATCCTCAAGTAAAGTGGAACACATTCCAGAAATATAAAAGTAAAAATCTACACTCTTAAAATATGCAAATAAAAAATAAACAATAGTAAACTTTTAGGTTAAAATATATGCAGCTTATATTGCTAAATAATTGGCTTATTAATCAAAAACTAGCAACTGTGAATCAAATACTACAAATACATTTTATAAATTCATCGGCGCCAATAATTGATAATATTAAAGAAAACTATCATACTTTAATAAATTAAGAAAAAAAATATCACCAAGAATTTATTTAATGTTAACAAGTAGGCACAAACCCCTAAAATTGTGGGAAGTACAAAATTTAAAAGTGTGTTAAAATTACTATTTCACAATTTTTTTTAAAGAACCTTCAAGTTCGCTAAAAAGAGGTTCCACTTTATTTAAATAAAAAAATCCAATTTGGATTTAAAAACTATTTATTGATATATAGTAATAACATTAAAGTAATTGATTGTAAATTTATATTATTAATTGAAACGGTATGTTTTTTTTTGTATATAGTAACCTCAACTAATTCTTATAAAAATATTGTCAACATTTCAGTTATTAATGTTGTACTAAATTAATTTAAATACAATTATATATAAATTAATTAATAACGATTGAATTTAGATTTGTCTGATTTAAGACTATTATTTGTGCAGTACGTACATTTGGATATTTTAAGGGCTGAGTAGCAAATAAAATTACATGTTAAATTGAATCACGTATTTTTAAAATAAGTAAACAAATAATAAATTTATTATTTATAAAAAAAAATCATTTTTACTTGTGAGTAATGATGCCAAAATAGTTTTATTAAACGGTTGTTTGTTGTTCTTGTGCCCAGTATAACTAAATGATTTAGCATAATCATCTGTAATCAACTTTCTTAAGATGCGCCTAACGGACTCTTTGAAAGATGATCCTCCAATCAATGCCAAAGTTTTAACCTAAATATTTAATGAATTGTATTTTTAAGACATTTCACATAACACCTACTTAATATATTGTAATATTAAGCTGTACAAATATAACATTTATATTAACATAACTCACAATTTGATCATTGAGTGAAGAATTATTATTCAAGTCATTGGTTATTTCGTGTAATGCAATTTCATCAGTTACAGGAAATTTGGATAAAACATTGCCTACTTCAAGACGGCCATTTATTGATGTTTCTAGTGGATTTGTATGTTGTAGCTTATCTTTGAGGTCGTTAACCATAACCATAATAACATCTAGATACTTGGTGTGTTCCTCAGATCTAGCGTTCAGAGTGACAAGTTGTCTCATGACTATTGCCTTTGGAATTCTGTTAGGATTTAATATTAACTAATTGTTTAATATCAATAATATGTAGTTAAAAATAAAGTAGGTATTATTATATATTAATATCAATGCATGTTCCCTGAAAAATTTGTTATAAGAACAATTAACTATAATTATAGTGGTTATTTACTTAGGAACAAAAAATATGAAATATAAACATATCTTAAAATGAAAAGTATGACATGTAAGAATATTTTATACAACAATGAAAATTACTAAAAATTCCAAATGAGTGTTAAATAATGAACCGTTAAAAACCAGAATTATTATATTAAGTGAGCTTTTATGAATAGTAAATTTTTAATCAACTTGATAATATTATAATAAAGGTTTTTTTTTAATCGTGCCTACAATAATTAGGAGTAATAATATTTAACCTATACATTGAAATTAAACAAAATATATATAATTCCACCAAATTTGCATTGAATTTTTTTGTTATACCTGAATCACTGCAGTTATGTGTCGTTGATATGATGATAATAGAGCATTAATTTTTTATTTAGATTTGACTGATTTGAGACTGTGTGTAGTACGAAAATTTGGATATTTTAGGGACTGGTATTAAGGAAATTCATAATTCTAATTTTGATGCATTTTTCAAAAATCTTAGATATACATAAGGATATACCATTTGTTAAATCATGTTTATATACTTATATAATATATGATGAAATAAATAATTTTTTTTCACATTTTTTTTTTTCATTTTTTATCCAAGAGTTTAATATATAATATGTTTACAAAGTAAAAAACACTCAGTTTAACATATGACTTCAATCAGTTATATTTCACATTATATATTTGTGTTTAAAGCGTAAAAATATTTTTGAACTAATAAAAAATGTATCAAAATAATTTCATTATGAGTTCACCGATAATTGTCTGTAAGTCTACTTTTGACATTCGTGCTTTTAGCAAGAAAAATATTACGGTTGGATTATTAATTAATAATCAGATTTCAATTATTTTGATATTGGAATGTAAACTTTCAAAGAAAATTATTACATTAAGTTTAGAAGAATGGTTTACACTTATGTCTGAACCTAATTATAATCCAATTATTAATAATTTACATACCAGATGTAGACGTGTGAAAATAACTGATAACTTATCATATTCAATAAATGTTAAACATAGTTTAATTACCTTGCATATAAATGACAATTGCATTAGTCTGACGAACATTGACTTCACTCACCTCAAGCAAATTCAAAATTTGATCGATTTGAATATTGCAGAAAAACAGAAGCGATTACCCAGTTATCAGGCTACATTGACCACAGCTTACGAATTGATTAAAAACGATGTCAGGGGTCTTTCCGTCAATTGTCAGAGGAATGAATTTACAAACCAATATATTCAAAACTATGACTTAAGTTATTATTCACATCTGCAAAACGACGACACATCATTTTTACATGAAATATTACAATTTCATTTCAACGCAATGGCCGATATGATATTACAAGATCTATTAGTGTAATAATTGTTTATTAATAAAATTATATGTATACAATCATAAATCTTTTTTTTTTTTTTTGTCGAATACGGTTCTCATTAACCCAGGAGAATATAAAAATAATTAATTTGACATGATAGAAAACTTAAATAGTTTTTACTATTAAAAGTATTACATGTAAAATATCTTCATTTTAAAATATCTGATGATGTTATCCATGAATATTGACTTGAATCAAAACCTAGCCATTTGACAAACATTTTATTCCACACTTTTTTTATAATACGTTCAACGAGGAAGGTGTCTGGATAATCTGTTAATTTAATTTCCTGTTCGTAAAAGCCACCTAAGATTATATTATCGGATCCATCTTTTAGTTGGTAAGTTACTGGATTTGTCTGTAAGACTTTTGCAATAGTAAATATTTCAGTTGTCCAATTTGGGATATATCCTTTACTAAAAACATGTTTATACTTGGATATTCTTACTTTATCGTTAACTTTAAATTTTGGTTTACATAATGTTATATCATTTGTATGTCTATTAGGTTTAATTTTGATTGCACCCATTAGGGCTTCATTTGGTGTACATTTGATTGCCCTATGTTTTGTATTATTGTAGTTTTGTATAATTTTTGATATTGTATTGTACCAATTCCATGTACCTGTTGCAGTAAAATGCCTGTATATATTATTTTTAAGAGTTTGTATTACGCGTTCGCAAATTGAACACTTGATAACA